GTTGTTTGTGGACCAGCAGGTCTGGCTGTGCCGCCGTGAATAGCTTCATAGACAGGAATTCGCTGCTCGCAGAAGTTGCGAAGTTGCCACAAAAATAAATCTGGTTTGGCGCTGCTAAAAATGTTCCCAGAGAAAAACTCAAGCTTTGCCATTGCAGACCAGACAGACTCACTCATAAATATTTTCCGGCATACCGTGCTCCCGAACTTATATCGTCTAATCAGCTGCAACCTGTGGCCGACATTGCTTCAGGTCTAGGTGGTATGTTTCCTGTTTCGACGTTATCTATCCCCAAATTTCGAGTGTCGCCCGCAATCCACTGCAAATGCTGCAGTGGCGGCTTCGGCGCACCGAAGACTTAGTTTTGCATAAGAGTGCGCGGCAGGAAGAGCGACTTCTTTAGAAACTAGACCGACCTACATCCCGTATTTTATGAAATCCTGCTTCATTGGAGGCACGTACCATGCTGAAGACTTTGTTATTGACTCCGTAACCGATGCGATTCGCTAGCAAAACTGCCGTAGCTTCACAGACAGTGAAACAACATTTTGCCGGAGCTAATTTTTGGTTGTTGCCTATGTGAGAGATCTAGCTGCGTAGCAGCTAACCTAAAGTAAGGGAAATACAGCGCCATTCGCACTTTTCCACCACTCTGTATTGCTACTGTGCGAAGCATTTTCTCTGTCTGAAATCGCTAACGATAAATATAGATAGTGTAGGCTGTATGCCTATAGTTTTTTTTTTGTGCGCCGTGTAGAAGGCACTGTAAACTGTTGGGATGGAACAAAACCGAGTCGCAATTAGAGAGACAAGCATTAACTAGGAAGGAACCGAACTCACATTATTGTAGTCCGCAGTTTTATGAATTATGCCGAAATCGAAAATCTTGGGGCCAACTGTGGCCTGCAGCTGCACCGCTTCTTCTGACAGCAAAAATTGTGGCTTGATTTGGCTTCTGTGGTGTGTTCTGCTAAATGAGGCGGATGTGATTTAGTTATACACATTTAGTGTCTTCTGCACTTATTTTGCCTTTTTGAGTCTAGTTTGGGGTGGATAGCATTTAGTATAGCGCCTGAACAGCTAGGCGCACTTGGCGCATGAAAGAAGTGAAGATAAAGATGACACAAGGATGCATATTTTTCAGAAGAGCGACATTACGAGAAAGGTTCTACTGAAATTCACATACGTCCTACCCTGAAAACAAGCACCAAATCTTAGTGTACACTCCAGAGAAAAATTATGGTTAAGGTACCTGAAAGGGGACAAGCAACAACTTGCTGCCACCAACATAATAACGCAACACAAAGGGGCTCTTCTTGGACTCACAGATAAACATAGTAAAGCCAATAACTGCGTACAAAACCTGGTTGGGTGACGGGGTGAAGTACTATTTGTCTATGGTGTGCTGACTGTGAACACTTCAGATCCCCGCATTCAGCCAGTTTGGCACTGCATTCAAAGCGTTGATAGCATAAACAAAACCCCAGATACATTTAATCTGGTGGCCAGCGGAGACGTTAGTTTCCCCCTTGCGGTTTGGCTCCAATTTTCAACCACCCTATTGCTGGCATCTCTGCCTTTAAAGCTATTATTCTAAGGAGCACACAATGAGTTGGTGGCTGGTCTACGCCCTCTTAGCACAAGAAATACAAAATCAATATTTAATGGCAAGCTGCCCAAGCCTGACAGAATCATGCATAATTCAACTAGTAGTAGTATGCCGCCGCAAGGTTGGCGGCCTACGAAGGAAAGCTGTTGATGCGTTCAAAAATAAGTGTTCGATAATATCTCTTCACAAAGCATTGTTGCTTTTTAAGGATATACGGAGCCTCCAAATAAATGCATTTTGCATGTGCAGTCTCTCATGTGTTGTTGAGCTTGCACCGTCAAACATTATTTCACAGAAACACAACGGTTTGTCATATTATTGAGAACCTAGACATTGCGCGATACATGTTTCTTCATACTCTACCCGTGGCGCGTGTAATGAGGCGAAAACAGATGCGTACCCAGTACCAGACGTACCCAAGCAGAGGCGTACCCGAAGATGAGAAGGACAGCTTCTGGTCTCACACTGCGGGGGCGCTGGACGTTTTCGTGCTGAGCACGTCACTAAACGATATAGGGAAGCGAGGCCAACCACCGCATTCTTTCTATATCGACAATTACAGATATCGCAAAATATCGTGAGCTAATTCATACATAACATGTTGCATCCTAACAACCTGATAGGTCAGCTGCCAGAACAAACAGGGATACTGTGGTGAAAAGTGGATAAAACAAGCATCTTTCTCCCGGATTTAGGCAAGTGGCTTCCCCGTTTCGTTCACACAAAATCCTGTGGAGCGGGCGCTGACTACTCAATCGAATGTAAGAGTGGAGGCTGCCTTGATCATTCGTGGTCTGGTTGCCCTGGTTGCGACAAAAAATATAGTGAAAACTAAAAGCAAAAAACATGGAAAGAGTACACTTGTGTTGGTTTTGTGTTAGTTGAATGTTGAGTTTAACCTCCGATACAGCAGGGCGCCAACATCCTTTGGGAGTTAGTATCTTGGATAACAGGAGAGCCATGAGACAAGCAGTAAGCATACCCATTTCCAAAGCTGTCATTCTTCATTTATGAAATTGGCGCCTTTTATCTTGCTGATAGAGTGCAGTAAGTGATAGCGACTATGACATATTTGAGCGATGCCACGGCTCAGAGTCTGAAACGTGAGCAGCGTGAAAGCAGAATTTGAAATAACCTAGCAAAAGTCGCATGAGGCGCTACATGCATTGAAGGAAGGAGCAGAAAGAACAGGCATGCTAGTCAGTCGTTTCTCTTTGGCTTTCTCTCGCTGGCCTGATGAGATATGTCATTTGCTGATTTCTTATTTCATGCAGGGCCGCGGGTCTCGAAGCATTCTGGTCTGTTAAATCCGGCGTTAAACTGACTCTTTTAGGTGTCTCCTCGTTAAAGCAGCAAGACAAAGTAACCCTTACGCCCGGGGAGGAAACTCACAAGCAGCGACGGGGTTTCAGTTATAAATGTTAAGGTGTCCCTTGCCCCATATTTCAAGAAAGACCGTGATGAAGCGCGACTACGAGTTTTGTTCATTGTTAAATATCTAAGATTTAGCGGAGACCGCGCTTTCCACCAGTGGGCAAGAAAGCCAAAGCCACCAGGCTAAGTTAGACTGCCCGATCTGGGGTACTTTTCCGGCTAAGTATTCATAATATTACCCACAGAAGTATCACAATAAACGAAGTGCTCGTTTTTTCCAGCAAGGGGAGCTTTTCGCTCCGCAGCTAAGACGCTGCACAAACTGTAGTACGCTGCCCTGTCATAGCTGTGCTACGTGGGATTGCGGATCGTGGACTTCGCCAATGGGTGCACTCGAATGACTATACCTTGGGAAATGGCATCTAAAAACCCAAATTACCCCTGGGTCTGCATATCAGCTCAAAGATATGCACTATCTCTAACCCGCTACATCATCGGGTCATCGCTACAGCCCCTCGCTGGCACCTCGGCCATCCAAAAGCCCTAGGCTGACTGCAGGGCGGTCAGGGCCCCAAAGCCTTATCTTCAGTTTAGGCTTGACTAATTTAACAAGTCACTTGCTTTTCCTATTGTTAGCCTCTAGAGGCTTCATGGGAGCCCGTTGTAGTGTCTGTGCACTGGGCAAGCTACAGACCAAGTCAGATACACGGTGCTACTTCTCAATCTTATAGTATTTGCGGCATGACACTTTAATTCTATTCAAATGCTAAAAAGCTTAATAACCAGTTTCTTAACAGGTGGTGGCTGTGACTTCCAGTGCGTCATCCTGTGGGACCAGCGGGTCTTAAAGAAGTTTTAAGAATATATGAAGGCAGATTGGTGCTGAAAGTAATTCTAGGAATATATGAAGACAGAGCGAGATTAACATACAGGAGATACCAGCTACAAGGGGCGGCAGGTTGTGGAGAAGGGTATACACGAGGCTGGTGCTCCAGCGAATAGACAAAGCCCTAGCAGCTCGAGACAACGCGGCGCTGCGCTTGAGCGCGAGAGCAGAACTTATCACTCTACATAATTACAAGACAGTATTTCAACGCGAATTCACACTTCCGTTATAGGGGTTATTCTAGCTCCTCTGGTCGTCCACACACACCAGACTCACCTCCCAGCGCTATGCTACTCGCCGCGGGTGCAGCCCATTTCTACTCATCGAAGTAGGTCCAAACTGACAGGTTTCCATGACTGAGTATGCACATCAGTAGAGATAGCACTGTCAGGTTTAGTTTTGAACTGTGGGGGTATTATTGCTGCAGGCACGGCGGCACAGACGTAAGATTCGTTAACCCTCTGCCTCCTAGAGCAGAAGCTGGGAAGCTCGGTAATGCTTTGTCTTAATAGCGTTTTATATCACTGGAGTGAGCAGACAACACTCCAAAGGCAAAATCGTGGAGAGGCCCACTTTTCTGCCTGCATAAGGCTTCTCTTGCCCGAGACCTAAAGGCTACCTCAAGAGAAGAAGCAAGAAGGTGGGCATTAGAAGCCTCTGGTCAGAGCTTCCAGGAAGTCTCTCGGTTAGCAAAACGCGAATCGAGACTGGGAGTGACGGCAGCCACCTGCTGAAGGCGGCAGAGGGCTCGGATCTAGACCAGCAGCACCTCAATAGGAGTATCCAGCAACACATGGCAGGGCAACGGCGTGAGGTGTGGAAGAACAAGGTAGACCAAGGGAAATCCGTGGCCTACCAAACAGCAGCTAGCAACGCTTTCTTGCGGGGACGAAAACGGCTAAAGCCGGAGGAGGTCGTCTTTGCATTAAGAGCACGCTCTGCACAACTTCCCACGAGAGTATACCTTTAGAAGATTAAAGCTTCTAAGGTATCTCGCTGTCGCCGCTGCACTGCAGATCCCGAAACACTTGCGCATGTGCTCAACCACTGTCCTCACAGCCTTGACAGCAAAATCAAAAACTGCATAACAAGGCCCTGGGGAGGATTACAACAGCACTCAAGCGCAGCGCGATGAATCAGGAGAAGACCTTGCAAATAGATAGCAGCCCAGCGGATAAGGAGACCCTACTAATGCCGGACATCATACTCAGGGAAGAGAAGCGGAAGCAAAGCACGATAGCTGATGTAGCTATTGTGTATGAGGACTACCAGAAAAACTCGTTTGGCGCAGCACGTCTCCACAATGAAGAAAAGTATCAAAGCCTTGAGACGTTTTACGAGAAACGTGGGAACAAAGTGCCAGTGGAAGCATTAGTATATGGGTCCCTTGGGTGTATTGCACAGGAAAACAAGAGTGCTTACACACGACATGGGACTCAATGAAGGCACAGCGTGGTTTATACAGTGCGAAATTAGCACTGACTGTATCCGCCAGAGCCATTGCTTTTGGGGTTTTCACATGGCAGATAATGGCACGAGCCGAGCAAGAGGAGGAGGCCGCTCTCGTGCCTCCACATGAGTTGCATGAAACACTAATGAACTAATAGAACACCAATACAGCATACACACACACTCGGTATTAACACCATGGGCTTATACAGACGCGTGAAGACGGTTAGCCCAACAGCCGGGCGAGCAATAGGGGTTAGAGCTCCCTCACATCCCCCTTTTAAACCTTTTGCTCGAGGCGGCAAAGTCCAACTCCGAAACCCAGCAAGCAAAGATTTCTTTAAGGAGATTGTCAGTGTCGTTGACACGAAGGGCTAACAGCGCAAACGACACTCCAACTCAGCCTCTGCAAACCACCGCAAGAGAAAAACTGGAAGCTGAAAAGAATTTTAGCTGATATGCCAAGAAATTTTGTCATTCGAGTGTTATACGCGACACACTGTTGAAACTACGAAGATACTCAGTGTAGGTCGCGAGATTGGGGACCGCGACGGTTCCTGAGAAATGGGTGCGAAAGCGAGCGACGCAATATCCCTTCGACATTCTCAAAAAACGCACAGACAATATTTTTAGCCGTATATACTCGGTAGGCTCCTTCTTCATTTTCAGGTATTGCTAACGGTTCATATGGGAGCGCTACGGAAATCGCAGCCGTCGGCCGAATCCGAACCCGAATCCCAGCCCGGTACAAAGTATTTTTCGTGGACGCCTAATGGTGAAAGCTTACACCCACACTTGGTGCGAAATTATTCTGTAATAAAGGATAAAGAAACCATAGCATGAACCTGTTTTGGTGTTGGGACACAGCTATGGGAGAGCCTGGTGCTAGCCTCAACCGCAGATGTACGCAGCACCAGTGAGGTGAATATCGGAGGACATTTAATCTCTTTAATTCATTTACCAGATTTTTAGATTTTAGTAAGCGTTTAAGTTCGTTTGTTTGTACTTTGGAGTCTCCAACAACTAAAACAACCAAACAATACCCAAATACTCACCAGAGAAACTCCAACTGACTAGTTTTACTGGATTTCCACGCATACCATTTACTCCGTAAATTTCTCTTGCAACACATATCTGCTAATCCTTTGGGTATGAAGAGCAATGTGCGCAACAGTGACGACGGCTATTAGATTGGACGATTAGCCTTCGTTGTTGGAAAGCTCACGAATTTAGGCTTGTTGCCTCCGCCGCTAATTGTTTCAGTCGTTTCACTTTGGAGTCCGTGGCTTTCTTGTCATAGGTCCACCAACACTTGCCACGAGTGAGTGCGTTTCCACCTACTGGGCCAGCACCTCGATAACAAAGAATCCGCCGAAGGAAAGCCTCAAACACGAGGCAGTGCTACTCAACCGTGCATTCTCTGTCACTCTCAGCAATAAAAACCTCTGCACTGCATTTAAAACTGATAGCGGGGCACCCAGTTATAATCATGAGCTCATGAGGGGTCTAATACTGGGGAATGTTGGGTTTTCAAGCCTGATGCTTGACTCGTCAGAGGGTCCTATGGTTTGTGCGAACGCGACTAAGTAAGCATTTCCTGCCGAGATGCAGTAAAGTGCAAAAGACCATACCTTTGCTGTGTGTGAACTGCAGAAGATTACCTTTGCGGTGTGCCGTTATCGCTCAGTTGGAGCAAGGGGAGCAACTTGCAAAAGAAATAGTGCGCTCGCCCCACAGCTTGCCGCTATTGCAGAATACCAAGTTGTGCGCTGTGAACTTGCGTTTAACATGGACAGTGTTCGCCGATGTAGTAAAGCCTTCTGTGTTCAGCTTAGAAGTTCTATCCCAAACGCACCACGAATTGCCTTGAAAATACTTCAGAATGAGCCGAAATATCGCTTGAGTATAGACGAAAACAAAAAATGCTCTATACAAATAAAAAATCACAAGCACAGCTCCATCTGGAGTCATTGCACACGAATTGTGGAAGATTCGCTTAGTCTTCACCTTCGGTAAATCTTGTTCAAAGTATATCTAACACAAATGATACGTTAGTTTTGAATTGCATCGAGCGCCTAATAATTATACGGAATGACGCATGATGCAAAACATGCCTAGCCTCTCGTCAAGCCTATATCACACCACACATCATTCCAAACAATATTCCGTGCAGGGCCTCCTTTTTATCGAGACTACGGCTAAGGCGAGCTCGTAAGCTCTGTGAACTGAGGAATTAATTTTTGAGACAACGGCCAAGGAAAAAGGCCAGCAATCACTATCTAATCGACGATATTTCCGAGCAGTGCTGGATTCCTCATGCGAATCCGCTAATGGGCCTTACTGCAGAATCTTAGCAGGTAGCCGTGCAAAGTCAGTATATGGGGTCGACATATTTCCCTTGTCACTTGTGACAAGGGAAATATGTGAACTGGAGTTGGCTCCCGCTGTGCACAACGCATCATGGCCTACAGCGGCAACTACTGTGAGCTCTCCTGACAGCTGAGCAGCCACTAAGTCCGGATTCTCATGATTTTAGCCAGATATCACGTTTTTCAACTGCAGGGACCGAGAGCCCTGAAGCTTCGTGTTTTTAAGGGGTTTGCTCGCCTGCGGAGGAGTTTCATCGCCTTTAAAAAAGCATAATGGCACCCGGACTCCGGTGTATTGCTCTCCTGAGCGTTCTATGTTCTGCGGTGCACCTTCTTGACACACCTAAATGCGGCGCAAACGTGCAGTGCTCGTGTGTAGAAGCTTCAACAGCGCGTCAATTCACTGCTGGCGACACCAATTACCTTCTTACAATACTCCGTGCTACGAAATCATAGGGGTACTATGGTAGTCATGACACTAACGTCTCGAGTTACTGTCATATCAACATGCGTGTTCATCAATTTTCGCCGATTCTGCATGCCGCCTTCGATTTGGCTCTGGCAGAATGGCGCTCCAGGCATTTTCAGCAGTGGTCAGCCACCGCCGAACGGGCAACCACATGAACTCGTTGGGTTTCAGCCAATAATAAGGGCACATCTTGTTTACGACTACTTCTGACCTTCCCATGAGCTGGGCAAGAGCGGCGCTTGACATGATGGTTTATTTCAAGCAGACTATCGTACGACGGACTGGCAGCAAGCCAGCTACCTATTGAGCGTTCAATCACATGCAGCCTTCTACACATGCCATTGAACTCTTATAGCGATACACAATCTTTTTCAATGTGGCGACTGCTAATGGGCGGCTTTACCGGCCTTACTTTGCATTCTTGGTCAGCAGACCCAGAAGGCACGTACTCTCAAAATAACGTTGCTGGTCACCAAATGGCCTGGCACTTAATACCATTTCCCGGCTTCGTTAATGCCGTTACTGAAATAAAGGGGCCAAATATGCAGTGTTTCATACTAAAATGGCCAGAACAGCGACTTTAGTTGTGGGTCGTGCTTCCCGTATCCATGAAAATCAACGCATGGAGGAAGGATCTAACCACGCCACAGCAATGTCAAACAAAAGGGAATTAATAGCATTGCTGCCATGACCGCAAGCAATGCAGATGGTTGAAAACAGTGCAAAACACAATTCATTAAAAATTTTACAGAGATGCTGTCACGAAAGATATCGAGGATATTGTTCATTTTGCCTTGCACATGTGGTCACAGATCCAGTCCGCCTCCGCATGGGGCTGTAATGCGGTAAAGCCCACTGGTGTAATGAAAAAGAAGCCACCTCTGCTGACAAGTCTCCTTGCTTTTCTTCACACTTGAGGAAGCTGCAGAGTTATCATCTGAACTGCAGTCAATTCTTAGCGGTCACTTGTAAGGCTATTCGGGAGTCCTTACTGTTGAGTCTCCAGCATCACAGGAAAGACAATAACGTGCCAGTTGCCCTGTAGCTAAAGATGCGCCTCAGAAAAGCCCTTCGTTACCTAATGAAGGTGAAATTTCTTTTAGCTCAGTGGGCTGTGGTTTTGGTCATTGGAAATGGCGCTGAGGAACAGCCATTTGCTCCAAAACTGAATCTGGATTCTGTAGGCCTTCCCGTTCACTTGGGGTTATCACTTCAACATGAACGCCAAACGTCATTTCCAGCCGGAGATTTCAGCATGCGAACACCAAAAACTCCCTGGTTGCCACAGTCGCAGAGGCACGGATCATCACTTCTGCTTCTTGGCATTGTCGCAGCTGTTCTAGTTACAGTCTATCTGGTAGTAGCGTGTTTTCGAATGATTCAAAGCAGCGCAACATCGGAAATGATGGCAAGACGACTACAAGGTGGCCCCATGCGTGTCCCGCCCAGTTGTGCTGTGAGTTATCCTTGAGGTCTTGATAACCAAGACTTCGAGGCGCAACTTTTGTTAAAACTAATATGTGGCTCTAAATGAAGTTGATTTGAAGCAAAAATGCCCGATGCTTCAGCTGACTCAGCCTGAGCCGCATGCATTCTCCTGGGCAGTGAACATTGTAGATATGTGGTAGATGTTCACGAAGCGTGCGTACGCCGGCAAAACAAAGTGGGCGTTCGACATGTGTATGTACCGAAACGCAGGCTGTAGGCTAAGAAGGCTACGTGCGCAGACTGGGGAGCTCACATCGGGCGAAATGGCGTCACGGGATGCAGCTTAGCAGAAGCTTTCAGTTGTTTTATGCTTAGAGTATGGACTAAAACTCCATCAATTTTTTTATAGCGTGTAAAAGGGGGATGCAATTGCACGACAACGACACTTGTTGCGTGACATATGTACGGTTATGCACCTCCGCATGACTTGGTACGGAGCCGGGCGTTGAAACTTACCTAGGTTGTATGAAGGGAGCAAGGAGGCACACTGTGAGCCTTCTACATCCTCTGTGTGAAGCACAAGCAGAGCGGGCGGGAGATGTTCCGAAACAGCGCGTTGAAGATGACTCCAGTGAGCGTTTCAGATGAGGGTGGAGATTGCTGCAAGACAGCCTCCTAGGTCTCACTAACCTTTTCTTGTGTGGTTGTCGCATGGCTGATTTGGTCGCGATAAAGAGAGCTCAGACAAAGAGGAAGACAGGTGTAATGCAGGGCATAACTCCCTCACTTCTGATGGCCCAAAACCGTGCATTTTTCGTTAGCGAGATTTGACAAGCTGGTCTGGAGCTGATTAAAGGCTCAACTGATGTAGCTGTGGAAAGCAACAACT